TTTTCTTTTTTTATTTAATAATTATTATTTATTTTATTTTTTAAAACACATAATATCATATACCATCTAATTTCATATCATTACTTAAATCATTTCATTAACCTCAAATTTTTATCTCAAAATTTCATCATCTCTGTCATTGCTTTCTTTTGGCAGATAAGAAAACCTTCAATAAATCGCGCCAGGGGGCACGTCCAACTGTAGCCAGTCCTGTCTACTCCAACTCTGGCTGTCTACGTCAACAGATTTTTGACACTCAAATCTCGGTTTTCACGGTAGTGGTCCGTTTCGATTAAATTTAAGAAACTTCTTCCATCTCTCCACCCCACCCACCTACGGCATACTCAATTTTTAATGCAATATTATTAGATTGTTTTTCAAGGAATCCACAGATTGGGAGAGCAGGATTTGTGCAAGGAGGAAGCTGGAAAAAGTCGAGTTCTCAATCTCATAAAAGCACTTCCTTTTACTTTCTTGCACGCATCATCTTGCTTGAAATTTGGGTAATTTTTCGTTTTGTGAGATGGGGGTTATGGACAATTCTGATCCTTGTTGTCCTGTATAAATGTGAATTACCAAGTTTGTTGCAGTTTTGACTTTTGCGGAGTAACCTGTTTCTGGGTTTTGCTATTGCAGGTTCGTGCCTCCTCCTGAACGTTCGGCATCACTTTTGCCTTGCCTTGGTAAGTTGTCAATTCAATTCTTTTACTGTTTTGTGTTTATTCTCTGTTGGAGATGAGTTTTCTGAGTTTTAATCAATTTAGTTGGTTTGCTGCTGATTTTGATTTTTCATTTTGTATATCAATCAAGTTCCTTTTTTTCCCCTTTTGTAGCTGAATTTCTGAATAATTGGTTGTGCCTGGCATCTGATTGTGAATTTTTGATATCCCCATGAAAAGCACTTTGATAATTTCTATTTTTTTTTCCCCTCATGATTGAAATAGGAAGCATTTGGTATTACGTTGCCCTTGGCCCTAACAAGGATTCTCTCATAAAATAATCCATTCTCTCTCAAGAAAGGGAGAATAGAATAGTATGCTTAAATTAAATTCATTGCAACGTTGTGCCTAGCTGATAGCTTAAGAAAAGACAAGATTTTCCTTCCTGCAGCTGATCTTAATGTAAAATGCCCTTAGTGTCCATAACTAGTATAGCTTTCATCTCTAATGATTATTATGCTGTTCCTTCAGAAGATGTTAAATGAGGATGTTGCTTGAATTAGTGCATCTACAGTGAAAATTCTTGACACCATAAAGATTGGGCGTGAACACTGTCAAGTGTGAAATGAGATCCCATAACATTCTGACTAAAAAGTGTGACCCTTTGTCAAGGGGCTCAACTCTATTGTAATGAGTGAGGATACCAATTGGAGTTAAAAGTCAAATTTGGTTTCCTAATTCAACCAACTCGATTTCCAAATAACCATAATCTGTATAGTTTTGCCATTATGGCAATGTAAGTAACAAACTCCTTCCTCATGACTTTTTTGGGTTTTTGGGTCAGTGGATAACACTTTCAGCCACCTCTTTACATTGACTGCCTATATAAGTTAAAGATTCATCTGTCTAATTGGTTAGTTTTTCATTTTGGATTTACTTGTATGATGCTTTTTGTGAAAAATCTTGTTGTTTCACCCTATTTCTTTCAATATCTAGTATCATATAGCTATCCATTTCAGGTAAATATATCTTCTCCTTGGCTATGCCTGGTTGTGCTTGTATAGACTTATTTTCATTGGAACGAACTGACATTTCATCTCACAAAAAAAAAAAAAAGAAGAAGAAGAAGAAGAAGAAGAAGAAGTTCTATCCAATCATCCTTTTTCACTTGCTGAAGTGCTGTTCTCTATCTGCATTTTTGAAACTTATTGCTTGTGTTTGGACAATGTATCGTTTTTACAGAGGATCTTGTTCTCAATGATGTTGTTGCTTATGCATAATACCTGAGGTCTTCGAGGCACAACAATTATAAATCTCATGTTGAAGAACACTCTTTTTCTTCCAAGTCTTGCATTGCAAATACAAGTACTGGAATCTCTGGAAGATCAGCTGATGCCACAGAAAACTTGCTGGTAAATACACATTCTGAAGCTGTAGAAACCAGTCACAACAAGCAAGGTGTCCCTTTTGGCTTTTGCAGTTCAAGGGTTAGATATCTTGTCCTTTATGCTTATTCTATGATAGTGAATGGTAAAGATTCACTAATGTGTATATGAACTGAAGTCAGGACAATACGTTCCAAATTTCAGCTTGAAAGTTGAATAAATGTGCAACTTTGTTTTTTTTGCCTGCAATAACTGTGCAACTTAATGCATATATAAATGACTAGTGAAAGTTGACCAGGTTGCATGATACAAGATCCAGTGGCATAGATGAAAAGCTTAGAGTAAAAGCGTATTTGTGCTTAGATTATTAAATGACAAATTTCTTTCAAAACTTTTCTTGACTCTCCTATTTGAGTATATTACCTCCATGGCTCCATTATTTCATCAACTGTTTATATGCAGTTCAGGTGTGTTAATTCTGTTGCACTTACAGGGTTCACCCTAAATGTGTTAAGTGTTATTGTATATCTAGTAATATAGAGTATAGAGTTGCAATGCTTTGTACCTCTTTATAACTTGACCATTGTCTCCAGGCTATATTCAACTCTATTTTTTTTTTTTTCATTATTATGCTTTTTAAGTAATAGGATATCTAGTATTATAGATGCAATGCTTTGTACCTCTCTATAATTTGATGATTCTCCTCAGGATTGAGTGTATATTGAACTTTTTTCATTACTATTCCTTTTAAGTCATTTTTCACTTCTTCTTTGTTTGGTTGTAGGGTGATGCTTCCCCTGTTTGGCTTTCAACTTGCTTGTAGATTGGGAGTGGCTTCCTGGAGGCATACCTTCTATTATGTTAGGTGTGCTCAACATGAATTCCGTAGGTAAGAAGATGTTGATTTTAACTCTATAAAAGAAAATTGGTGGATGTTTGCTGTCAATTTATATTTCAAGAGCATTCTTAGACCCTCAAGTACAATTGTTGCTATTCTCCTCTCTAGTTACTTGATAACATGCTTCTTGCTTAACATGATTAATCCTTTTGGTATGCTTAACATGATCAATCCTTTTGGTATGTTCAGAATTACATCTCGAATGCAGAAAACTCTTCATGGTTCTTCTAATGATATTGGATGGTTGCAACGAACTCCAGGAATAGCCCCTGTTGTGAATGGTACACAGAGATTCTTGGAACTGCTTGAAGCAATAAGGTAAAAAGGCCATGCTGGTTTTGATAACCTATATGCATGCCATCTTTCTGGGGTTTTTGCGTTCTCAAACAATTCATGACATACTTCCCATAAAATTTTCAAATAAGTTGAGGTGGATATATATATATATATATATATATGTAAGGAGGGATCCAGTTAGGCACAAAAGCAGTGCTAAGGATGATTTTTAAAGTTATCTAGCTTCTTTTTTCTGATTTTTAGTACAAAATCTTGAGGTCTATTTGTACAACTTCATATTGTAATGTATATCAATCTGCATTTTGATTTCTTAATCTTCCAGTCATCATACCAAAGCATAAGGGTTTTACAAAATAAAATTTACCAATTGTCTTATTCAGAAAGACCATGGTTGGTGACGGTGTTGGTTGCCTGGAAATCTTGACTTCCCTAATTGTTGGATCAGATGATGACCTTTACCTATCTGTTAACAAAGAATCATTCTTTTTTAGCTTATGTTATGATATAACTCCTGAAGCATTTACTGTAGTTCTACTTTATTGTCTTTAAAGTGTTCTCTATTATGGACACTTTGGATTATTTTGGTGGTTCATGTATTCAACTTTCTGTTTACTTTTTGAATTGTTGTTTTACTTTTAGAAATGGAGAACACACCTTGCCCAACTCGTTTGTATATCTACTAATTCCAGGTACAAGAGTATCCTTTCTTGAGTTTTTTTTTTTTCCCTGATTTATCAATGAAATTCAGCGTGGCCTACATCTCTCAATGTGCATTAGTAATTTATCAGGCCTTTTCAGCAATCATGGTCCCTTGTATTTTGTGGCTACTAAGAGATTCTTTTCAAAGATGGGTCTAGCTTGCCACATAGCAAAAATCCACAGTGAGGTAATTGAAAGTCTGCAAAATTATCTGAACAGGTATCAAGGACAGAAGAAAATTTGCATTTACCTTGCAATGCACCATTAAGCAGTTTGCTCATGCCATCTTTTTGTCAAATTTGCACTTCTTTTGGCCACTTCTCAAATATCTTTCATATTTCCTTTCTCCCTTTTTTCTTCCATTATTCCACCATTCCTCTTAGAATTCAAGCTTTTGTTATTGCTGTTCTACTTCTTGTACAAAGGCATCAGTGGAGCAGAATGCATGGGAACTGAAGCAGTACATCGAGGAGCTTTATTGGGGGTCTGGCAAGCATGTGATGCTTCTTGGACACAGCAAAGGTGGGATTGATGCTGCTGCTGCATTATCAATTTACCGTTCTGACCTGGAAAACAAAGTTGCAGGACTGGCACTGGTCCAGAGCCCGTATGGTGGCACCCCTATTGCTTCTGATTTTCTTCGTGAAGGTCAGATTGCCGACAAAGAAACAAGGAGGCTCATGGAACTTGTGGTATGCAAGCTGATTAAGGTACTTCTTCCTCTGCCCCGGATTTAATGTATAAGGTAGTAATTATCAGGCTTGTGCATTCAAGGGAAAACTGTACATGTATCTGTAGCTGTTTTTTAAGAAATAGTTGGATTTTAAAATTTATACTACAATTGACATAAATCTATCTCAAACTATATAATCCATCATGTCATGCATAGAATTGAAATCTGTATTCCTTTTGGATTTGAGTATTAAATACTTCAATGTATATTGTAGGGTGACATACGGGCCTTGGAGGATCTCACATACAACAAGCGAAAAGAATTCATCATGAAGCACAAGCTCCCAGAGGATATCCCTATCATCTCCTTCCACTCAGAAGCAAGGATTGATACTAGTGTTCTTGCTACAATGACCCCCATAGCTCATGCCGAACTTCCTTGCCTTCCCCTTCCCAATTTTGCCAGCGAGGATCCCAGTAATGATGTTAGATCCAGATGTCAAGTACCTGTAGTACTTCCCGCCTCTGCTGCCATGGCCATGTGTGCACTTCACCTCCAGCTCAGATATGGGGAGAAGAGTGATGGACTGGTGACATGCCGTGATGCCGAAGTTCCCGGGTCTGTCGTGGTTAGGCCAGACCAGAAGCTTGACCATTGCTGGATGGTCTACTCTACATCAAAGAAGAATTCCAGTGAGCCTGATGCTAGTGAAATGTGTGAGGCACTCCTGAGTCTGCTAGTAGAACTTGGGACGAGAAAGCAACAATAAACAACTCCAAGTTCTGAAACATACTAACAGTTTTTTCTTCTTTCTTTACTGAACTCTTTATGTCATAAAAGCTTCAAAGAAGAACAATTTCAATGGCAGAAAACTGTGATTCATTGATGCATATTTGCACCATTCATCATCCTGTACTCCATCTCTGGTTCATCATCCAGGTCCACTGTCCTCCATGACTTTGATAATGGACCCTGAAGGCTCATAAATTACCAAACGCCTCAGTCAAATCAAAGATAGGAGGAACAAATGGAAGCCGTCTCTACACGTAAACAACAGCACTGGCCTACTGGGTAATGAAGAGGGGGTGATGTTGATGGGCCTATAATGAATGCTGTGCCATCAATGGCATTAAGGAGTGAGGACCCACAGGCTCGCATTTTTACTTGCATTGTTCTTAACCATTAAATCACTCCAAAAACCACAGAAATTATGATTATGGATAGGTATATCTATTATTTGTAAATATTTTATCTATTTAGGGAAGCATTATATTCAAATTGTGGAAAAAATGAGTAAATAATGCGTATAAAATTAATATACCCATAAGTATTAAGTTAAGTAATAAATGTAATAGTTCAGAATTGTTTATCTAACTTATTTAATTGAATTATTTAGTTAATATGTTATTTGTACTTGTATAATTAAAATTTTATATGTACCTATTATACTTAAATTTATATAATAAAAATATTTTTCAAAAATAAAAATAAAAAATACAAAAAAGTAAAATTAAAAATTAAGTTAAGACCTATAAGCTAAACAAATTACACATGCAACAATAACAACTTATATAAACAATAAATTCTAAATCAAATATATAATACAAGATAACAATAGCATTTCATATTAAACCTTTCCTTTCTCTAAATCAAAATACATAAATATTTGCTTAGAAATTATCCAGTACTTGTTAAATTAAATATCAAATATAAATTTTTAAATGTTTAAATAAATGTCAAATTTAAAATATTATACATAAAAATTTTTAAATTAAATATCAAATATATCTCATATTTGACCTATATCTAAAAATACTCTCACTTAGGAGTGTCTTTTGAGTACTTAAATAAGTGGACACTGGTGCTTGTTGGTCCATGGTCGTACTAAAGCACATAAAAGGTGTTGTCGTTGCCAAAATCCTTACATTAAGTTTGGTAGTACGAAAAGGGTCCCTGCCCATTAACTTTTGCAATAACATGTGGGTTAAACCTACGAATTAGCTGAACTTTTTGTGTACGGGTCACCGAATTGTGGAGCTGGCTCCCTGAAGGCAACAAAGCTCAAGGTGGCATTGGGCATTGGTATGCATGTGGTTGAGGAATGAAGATGAAATTTGTGTCATTGACATTGCAAGTCACTCAGATTTAGTAGGTTTCTCACATTTAGTCATTTCTTTATTTTCCTTTTATTAGGTTTAGTTAGGTCCTTTGGTTTGGTCTTGTTTTGTTTTAGTCATAGGTTTTTGGTGCGGTACGTTGTGAGCCATCTGGGTCTAGTACGTTAAGCACCCAATAAAACCTAGGATAGGGAATCATACCAGAGCATTAAGTTTTGGGAGTGTCACTTTGCACTTGATCTTCTATCTGTCTGTGAATATGCAAGAGTCTTGTCCTAGTTACTTTGTAAGCTCTATAAAAAAAGAAAAAAAAAAAAAAGTCATCTCCAAATGCTGAACTTCTTGGGGCAGGCTTTCCCCAAAAATGGTTGTTGCTACACACCAACCATTGCCAACTTGACCATTTTTTGGAAATTGTTGAAACCAAACATGCCCTTAAGTAGGAAAAAAATGAAAAAAAAAAAAAACACTCCATTGGTGTTTGATGAAATTAGCTGCCCAATTTTGTACCAAAATACACATAGAAAATGTGTGGACATGAGGCCGAGGTTGAGCTGACTCCTTATTTGCCCCTAGTCTTCACTCTTCCACATCAAAGGGTGGATTGAATGTTGTATCATCAGAAACATGGCTAGATGTTAAACTTGGGTGTATTATATGCACTGATAAGTTGATAATATTAAGACACCTTCCACAGAGACTGTCCTAAAGCTAATTACAGAACATAATTCTCCCAGCCAATTGTATCTCATTCAGGAAATCTTGATCAGTGGATGACGACAAATATAAAAAACCTAGAACCTAGCTAGTTCATGGGAGCTGGAAGTGGGACTCCAAGTTTGCTATTACTTCCTGGCAAGTGGGAACTAAAGAATATGGAGGGAAACGTCAGGTACTGCACTGCAAGAAAGACAAGAAAGGAAAGAAGAAATCCTTATTTCTTGGCAAAAGCCTCCAAGGGGGATGGACTAAAGGTGTAGGATTCTGCTATCATGTTTGAAATTGTGAAATCAACATTGCATGACTTTTAGACATATACTATGAGTTGAAAATGGCATGCAACTGAACTCCCAATCTCATTTTAAAAAATAACAATAATGTAGTGGCCTGAGAATAGAGAGAATTAAAGCCATCAAACTTCAATGGAAAACTTTGTTCGACAGCTCAATGCGTTCAATCCAACATATTCTCTAGGTTTCTAACATATGAAAAAGAATGCAATAGGAAAGAGAATTTAGCAAGGCAATTGCTATTTATGTGTTAAAAGAGTCTTTCAAAGTTCATAAAACTAAAGAATTTGGGACCCATTCGATCATCAATAGTAGTTAATTTCAACTATTTGAAATTGATTATAATCTCAATAATAAGAGTTTTTAATTAATTATTATTTTCTCTTATATACTTTGTATCCCCATCCAATATATATGTAAGAGAAAATAAACAGACTTAGCTTATAGAGGTTTTTTGTATCATTAAAAAACTTAATACATTATAATATCTTAATATTATTTCAAATTATAAAAAATCATGTTTTCCTCTTTCTTTATCATTTATCTTTTATATCGGTCATTCTATATTATTATGCCTTTTTTTTCGCATATCAAAGGATCTAAAACCGTATAATTAAGAGGTTTCAGCACATCAAAGCTTTCCTCATATTAACATAGGTTTCAACACCAAAGGCACACAATTATTTACAAGAATAGAAAATGAGTGTCAAATGAAAGGAAAAACAAAGTGAAAGAATCGTGCAACATCTAACATTCTTCAAATCATTATTTAGAGTAAGGTTAAAGACTATAGTTGAGAGATTAATTTGAATCACAGATAACACAGCATGAGTTCACCATTGTTTGGACCATATATAGGAATTTTTATGGGAAGCCATTAATTCAAATCTCCAGATTAGATCTTTGAAGTGCTTCAAGAAAAGCTTATCCAAAGTTAAGATAACCAAGACTCCTGCAAGCCCTATGTTTCATAGCCCATTTTCTGAATTTTTACTGATCGAGGCCGCTTTAAATTTTCGATCTCATCCGGGACCTCAGTCCAGGTCATGGGGATTATTATTATTTTTTTCTTTAAATTTCTGAATCCAACTTCATTGCGAAGAGAAAAGTAATAAAAATTCTCTTTTCTTTTTTGAACAAGATACAATTCAGGCAAAGAGAGAATCTAAGGATAGACCTGGCAAACGGGCAGGTTGGGTC